GGGTATCGGTGGGGGGCTGATTGGCTTGACAATTCGTTGATTACGCCGCATTTTTCAGATATTCAGCTATTATTTTCAGTTTAGAATCATTTTCGTTGGAGGTATTGGTGGAAATTGGATTTCGGGGCTATTGAGGTTATCTGAGTGATATGCGTGGGATCATTTTGAGAAATTGGGTTTTTTAAAGATTTTATTTCAATCACGGAAAAAAAACTTGAATTGAGTATAAAATAGATTTGAATCAAGTATTTTATACTCGAATCAAGTATACTATATACTTGATTCAAGAATATTATTCTAGATTTCAGTATATTTTATACAGATTAAGTGCACTTGAATCAAGTATATTATATACTCCAATCAAGAATAATATACTTGATTCAAGTTTTTTTTCCGTGATTAATAATCAATAAGAATTGTTTCAAGTCTTGGGATTTGTTTTGTGTGAAATTGATTTTTAAAGAAATTCTGGGTATGAACTAGTTTTTTATGCTTGAAGTAGAAAATTGATTGGTTATAAATTATGTATAAAGAGTCGTAATATTTAAAAATCACATTTTTCGAGTATTTTATCAGTTTTGCAAGAAAATGAAACTTAAAATTTTTTTTTAAATCTTGAATATGCTTTCGACAATTATAGATAAGGAATTGAATAATTCCTATTTTTTTAAATGAATCACGGCTGAATACACTAGGAAAAAATTATAAATTCCAAGTGTATTTCGCGGTTTTGTACGTCAAATTTCCTTGATTATTGAATTGGTAAAATGACTCGTGTGTTTCGATTATTGAAGGAATCTTGGCTCTTGAATTTAGAAAATTTGGATTATCTTAAAAACATTCTAGTTCTTGAATTAATGACTTTTCCGGCTGAAAAATCAATCTACTAATGTTCCAATAATTTTGCCTTCTTTTTGGATCCAATTCATGACTGCTACATTATTTAAAATATACCATCTGCTTCCTCAGGTCAATTAATATTGAATTAACATCCCACTAATCTCGATCTTCATCTTTTTGTGGTCAGCCAAAGAATGTGAACATTTTTAATTAATGAACTCGCCTGTTCTTATCTCACGAAAATCTTACTTGAAATAACTAGACTTTTGTTACTGAATTCCTAAAATATTTCCTCCTAAAATTCACTAAACAACATCTGAAAATGGGAGAAATACTCGAATATCCACAACAACCCAATCAGCAATCAGTAATCAGCAATCACCAAAAGCACTGTTAGAAAAAAATTGCCTGAATTTTCCGGAAAAAGACCTTGAGTTCGTTCTAAAAGAGAAAAAAATCAATGAAATTTTAAATTTCTCTGAAACTTCAAGTGAAGTCCCATTTTTTCGCGTTAGGAAGATGAAAATTCTACAATTTACATGAATTTTCAGGCAGTTCCATTAAAATTCTTGGAATTCCAGGAATTCCTCGGAGTAATGAAATTGAAATTATCAGTTCTCAAATATTTCTCCATAAAATTATGAATTTTCAATCACAAAATTCCTTGAAATTTCAGTGAACTCATTCCTTGGTACAAATTTCCAAGACCCTTACCGGAAATTTCAGTGGTAAAATTTTCAACAGTGAGTACAACCAACCTCCGATAAATAATCCAAATAATTTCCGCGATAACATCCAAATTTCCCCCTCGACAATTACCTCTGAGCCACCCTGTTAAAAAAATCGGCTGAATTTTCCGAAAACAAACCTTAAGTTCGATTTAAAGAGAAAAAGTCATAAGAATTTCAAGTATCTCTGAAAATTCAAGTAAACCCCGATTTACATGAATTTTCATGTGAGAATGAATATTCACCGCGAAATTCCCCTGAATGTTCTGGCAATTCCTTGGACTTCCAAAAATTTTTGAATAAATTCTCTGAAATGTCAATAATCTGGAATGCAAGGGGAGATTTCTCTGAAGTTCCCTGATTTTTCACCAATTTCACAGTAAATTATGAATTTTCAATGCCAAATTTCTTGAAATTTCAGT